GAGGTTTGATAAATAAACTGTTTATAGAGGTTTGATAGATAAACTGTTCATAAAGAGGTTTGATAGATCATTTATACACAGTCTATCGTTTGAACACGAGTGTGAGTTTTTACCTGTCAAAATAAAAGCCTCTCACAGCTCCCCGCCCCCTGTGCTGGGCACCGCAGTGCGCATGCGCAGCGTAGTAGCCGGTCATGGCGGCGGTGTGTGTTCGTCCATGAGGTGGGGGGACGCCTGCTATTCCTGCGGTCTGTGACGGAGCCATCCGAGCGACACGCTGCCATGGCTGGAGTGTTTGACATTGACCTGGACCAGCCGGAGGAAAATGTCTCCGACGATGAGATCGAGCAGGTACTTGAGCCGGAGCTGTTGAGACGTGACCGCGAGAGTTGTCGGAGCAGAAAGTGTGTGTGTGTGTGCGTGCTTGTGTGCACGGCGGCTAGCTGCTAGCTGCTGTTAGCCCGGTAGCCTGCCTGTCAGCCACCGCAGGCCTGCTCTGCAGCCGGGGCTCCCAGGCCTCTGCTACACGGGTTAGCACGGAGCGCACAGCTCGTCTGACAGCGGCGAACACAGAGCTGTCACTTGTTGTGTCTTCATCTGTTTTCCCTCTGATCTCTCGCTGGTGATCGGACACACGCCTTGTTGACACTGTCACGGTTAAAAAACCAGCCGCTGTCATGCTGGAGTTGTGCAAGCAAAGCCATACTTGGCCAAAGGTGCTGCAGTGATAAATGTGGCTCAGTGTGCAACAGTTTATTTTGGCAGGACTGTGCGCACGGAGAGCTGCAGCCCGTGTGCCTCTGAGGCTGAAACAGCAGCAGCACAAACACACACACACTCCACTTGAAATGACTTTTAAACCGTGTGTACACACACCACAGCTGCATGCACGTGTCAAACTCCCGGTGTCTAATTACAGCGAATCACCTGCTGTTGAAGGAGTGCTACAGTGATCGTATCAAAGCACTTCTTGTTTGGCGACAAATTAGTGCTGGATGACGATGCGGCCAAACATATCAAAATAAAAATGTTCATGTCAGTCGATAATAACTTTCAAAGTTTTACGACTGATTTTTGCTCCTGAGTGAAGGTTGTGGTTTTTAAACCTCAAACACTTGATAAACAGCAAAACAATTTTACAAATCTGAGGACAATCAATCCTGTGCTAAATCACAGCATTGTGTCATTTTATATTGAACATTATCAATCTCTCCATTGTTTGGGTTCATAAAAGAATGATAAAATACTGCCCTTCACAGTTTCCTGCATTCAAGTTGATTTATTTTGGAGCTCTAGTTGTTTTCACATTTTCAATTTAAAATGATATTAAACCAAAGTAAAGCAGCAAATGATCTAACTGCAAAAGTTGGAACGAAATTTATTGATGGTATTTTTCTCTGGAATAAGTGATTGATCGATTTCTCAAAATAGTTGCTGATTAGTTTTCTGTTTAACTGATTCATTGCTGCAGTTGTTGATATAAACCTTCATGCACATTAAGTATTATAAGTGGTATACTGTCACAGTGTTTAAACAGAATAAAGAAAAAGTAATACAGAAATGTGCTTATGAAGTTAAGCTCCACACACACACAGACACACTCACTCAATGTTGACTTATGTCGCGTTCTTCCTTCCAGGCTTCAATCAACGATATCATGGATCAGTGCAGCGGCTTCGAGTTGTAAGTATTCCATCCATCTGTGCGTCTGTCCGTGCATTATGTGGAGAAACCAAGTGTGAGCCCTGTGCATTGAACATCCCCGCAGCAACATGGACGACTGCGAGAAGATCGAGATATCGGAGGACAACGTCAACCAGGGGACGGAGAACATCAGGCCGGAGTGCTTCGAGCTGCTGCGGGTCTTGGGGAAAGGTGGTTATGGAAAGGTACTTGTGGTCCCCCGAGAAGCAGAGAGGCTTTAGAAAGTACACTGAACAAGCACACACTCCTCTATGGCCATAAACACACTTTATTGTGTATTTTGTGGTACTGAGTTATTTTTCTTACACTTTTTTTCTGCTTTTCATTTTTTTAGAAAAACACGTAAATCTCTCTTCGTTCTGTGCAGGTTTTCCAAGTCCGAAAAGTTGTTGGCGCTGCATCGGGCAAAATATTTGCCATGAAAGTTTTAAAAAAGGTACTTCATTATTTTTTTCCCCTTGCAATGGAGATACAATATATATCT